ATTTGTAATCCTTCCCACAGAATGAAACAAAGCTTTAAAAACACACACACACACACACACACACACACCTAAGGGCAATAAAAAGAAGTTTAAGAAAAAGGTTGACAAAGATCTACCAAAGATAGGAGACAGAACTGCAAGAGAAAATGTAACTAGCAATCCGGGCCTGGAATTATTTCTTAGAACATTGCAGTCTTACAAGTGATAAGTCTGGATCACTGTTAGTGATCACTGGTGAATATCTGATAAGAGAAGCAAGAAACACTGCACTTGGGCACATGTTTTAGTTTTCAAAACGATGCATATTCGGGCCGGCCGGTTAGCTCAGGTAGTTCAAGTGTGATATTGTGATACCAAGGTCAAGGAAACCTGTACCAGCCAGCCGCCAAAAAAAAAAAAAAAAAAAAAAATGTGTATCATGAATTCTACAAACTAGAGACGATGAGCTACATGGACAAAAGTTTAGAATAGATTACTAAAGAAATAGTGGATGAGGACCTTGGAGAGTAAGGAGTAGTTCCTTAAACCTTACGAGCACATGAAAAACAAGATATATCTAAATAACCCTTCTTACTTAGAAAGGGTAACTTGATTGATACATTAAGGAAAAGCACAAAACACAGTCTATCTAGATTATAGCAAGGATCTATAGGTTCCTTCTGGTATCTTTAAAGAAAAAAAAATTAGGAATTCAAACTAGATTCAAGAATAACTAAGAAGATTACATTGGAAGCAACAAACTTAGTGCTACTCCTTCCGTTCTTAATCCTTTCCCATATTTTAATTAATGACTTAAGCAGAAACAAAAATAGAAATCAGGTTTATTAAATCTGTGAATGATAATTTGATGGGATACTGAATCATCATCTGGGTGGTGGCAGAATATGAATCCAAAAAGTCCTTAGAAAAACAAGCTAATGATGAAATTTAACAGGGTAAGTAGCACTCTACTCTTAGGTACCTAAATATACAAGTAGAGGATGAAAGACAAACTGCATTGTATAAAGCACTTAAGGAGTTTTAGTTGACAGTAAATCTAACCGTGGAAAACAATGCGACGCCACAATTTTAAAACGAGACATAAACTTAGAATCTGTCCACTGACACAAGATTCCAGGAGAGTGAAGGAACGAAGAAGAATGAACACATGAAGAAAAGCTAAAAGGAACTATTTTGTCTGAGAAGAAGACCTTGGTCCAATAAACTGGGCTTCAAAGATCTGAAAATCAGTGACGTGGAAGAAGAATGGAACTTTCTGGTTAAAATGGAGATTCTTGTCTCACCACAGAACTTTTGATTTGGTAGGTCTAGGGTGGAGTACAGACATCTGTTTTTTCTAACATTCACCCAAATGGTTCTAAGGTCCATGGGTCACATTTTGAGAAACATTTCACTATATGCTCTGTGCTTTGCAGGAAGACAGAAATATTAATGCCTTTGTTTAGAAACTCACCTGACCACAATATTTTAGAAGGGATTCAGATACCAAGTAGCCTGTGGGACTTTCAGTCCTTTAATGGTAACTTCCAACCCAGAGATTCTATTACATCTATCATGTAAAAGTGTTAGCTTTCAAGGAATATATTCTAAATGAACAGTGAACTACTTACCTACTTACCCAAGGAGACTTGGGTTCTAGTCCTGATTCTACTACATACTCACTGTGCAGCCCTGAGGCAATCACTTTGCCTTTCTAGACCTTTTTCCTCATCTACACACATTACAAAGTTAAAAGGTTCCACTACAGACGATCTGTAGCATCCCCTCCAACTCTAACATGTGATTCAATGTCAAAATGGCATTTCACAACAGAGTATCTGAGCATAAATCACACAATACAAATGGTGCATGTATGCTGGAAACAGATTTCGTATCCACTGGACAACTAACAGATGGACAAACGATTTCACCAAATAATATGGACAGAAACCGGAGACACTAATGTCATTTTCCTCCACCAGAAATTTACCTAAGTCAATTAACTTTCTTTCTATCAGCCAGCAGATTTGAAAATTTTAAGGAGATCAGATTCCAAATCATCGTAACTCAGTACACAAAGCGCTAACCAACACGGGATTTAAGGAGAGCCGAGCGCACCCGGGTCGTGCACCAAGGACACTCATCCTTATTAAGGAAATGTGGGGACATCCTCGGGTTCGCAAAAATAAAAAAATGCAAGTAGAGGGGAGGCAGAGGCTGACCTCTACCCATTCCCGCATGCTTGGCCTCTCCTCGCAGGGCACCGTCAAACTTGGGGCACGCGGGCCAGGCTTGGAGGGCCGTAGGGGCGAAGGGCACGTGCCGGGAGGCTCGTCCAGGCACCAAATGCAGGGCTTCCCGCTGCTCGGCAGCCCCACCTCGGGGCTGGGGCTCCGCGCAGGGCAAAGGGGCGTCCCGCCCGGCGGGCTCACCTCCTGGTCCTCGTTGGCGCTCATCGCGCCGGTCGCGGGACACCTCCCGGGCGGACAGCGTTCGCGACAACCAAGAGAAAGAAAGCGAGGGCTGTGGCCCCGAAACTAGGGTGTCCCCCTTCCGCGCCTGGCTGCGGGAGTGCACCCTTCGCATCCACAGACGCGAGTCGCGTGCGCACCCAGTCCTCCGCCGCTCCAGGCCGCGGGAGGTGGGCTGCAGGCTGGGAGCCCGACGCCCCAGCAAGTGGGCCGCCCTGGCGCCTGGGAAGAGGCTGGGGGAGGTATCCGCAGAGGCCCCGCCCTCTTCCCTTTCGCTTCTCCTATTGGCTCCTTCCTCTCTCCGCCCCCATCTCTTTCTCTTCTAGGAAATGGAGAGCCCTCCTTACGTGTTGAGAAGCAGCGTAAAGTTCTTGGACAGCGATTGGTGTAGAGCGCTGTCACTCAGGCCCAGAAAGTGCTTCCTGTGCTTGTGGAGGTGGGAATAGGGAAGTCTCGCCTGCTGGGGCCGGCTGTGGGGTTGTGGCTGTAGGGGCTGGCCCTGGTGTATGGTGACACCCCTGTCTGCCTCTCCTCGTCCTCTCCCGGCTGGCGGTGACTGGCCACAGCTGCAGCGGGTCCGGGGCGTAGGGCCTGGGTGAGTCCGGGCCTGGAGACCTGAGGGGCCAGGCGAGACAGCCGAGGAAGGGAGCTAGCTCCTAGCAGTGCTGGTTGGGGGGCGGACAGCGTTCGCGACAACCAAGAGAAAGAAAGCGAGGGCTGTGGCCCCGAAACTAGGGTGTCCCCCTTCCGCGCCTGGCTGCGGGAGTGCACCCTTCGCATCCACAGACGCGAGTCGCGTGCGCACCCAGTCCTCCGCCGCTCCAGGCCGCGGGAGGTGGGCTGCAGGCTGGGAGCCCGACGCCCCAGCAAGTGGGCCGCCCTGGCGCCTGGGAAGAGGCTGGGGGAGGTATCCAAAGAGGCCCCGCCCTCTTCCCTTTCGCTTCTCCTATTGGCTCCTTCCTCTCTCCGCCCCCATCTCTTTCTCTTCTAGGAAATGGAGAGCCCTCCTTACGTGTTGAGAAGCAGCGTAAAGTTCTTGGACAGCGATTGGTGTAGAGCGCTGTCACTCAGGCCCAGAAAGTGCTTCCTGTGCTTGTGGAGGTGGGAATAGGGAAGTCTCGCCTGCTGGGGCCGGCTGTGGGGTTGTGGCTGTAGGGGCTGGCCCTGGTGTATGGTGACACCCCTGTCTGCCTCTCCTCGTCCTCTCCCGGCTGGCGGTGACTGGCCACAGCTGCAGCGGGTCCGGGGCGTAGGGCCTGGGTGAGTCCGGGCCTGGAGACCTGAGGGGCCAGGCGAGACAGCCGAGGAAGGGAGCTAGCTCCTAGCAGTGCTGGTTGGGGGGCCTGCGTCTCCCTAAGGCGTGTGCAATCCTGGCACCTCTCCTACAGACTCAAAGAAAAGACGCACCTATTTCTAGCGCGTCCCAGGTTTGAGGCGTGTGGTGGAGGGAGGAGGAAGATTTAGTTTGCCTTTAGGGCTGCAGGGTTCTTCGTCTGCCTTTCCTCCCTGGAGCACCCAGGGCAGTACTGCGGCTATGGGGAAGGCATCTTTTCCGAAGTTGGGTTGTTGCATCACTATCTCAACATCAGCTTTTTTTTTTTTTTTCACCATTTTGGCTCCAAACTGTCGTTCCTCTTGAGAGTTTTGTATTTGGACATCTCTGAATCCTATTCTTACTAGCGTTGTGTCCTACACCCAGAACCTCCAGTTAATTTAAAGATAGTAACCACATTATTTTTTTACGTGCTTTGACTGGGTCACCTTTGTATCTTGCACTCCGGCTTCCAGATTACTTCCTGTGCCCTACGTGACCACCCACCCAGAATGTCCACTTACTGTAGCTGCACCTCCTCCCATGTCATAGTTTCTTTGGTTGCTTCATTGGTATCTTTTAGGAGATCTGGAAATTCCTCCTCCCCAGGCTGGGCCATTGAGCATTTGAAATAGGCTAGTCCGAATTAAGATGTGCTGTGAGTGTAAAATACACACCAGCTTTTGAAGACTTAGTATAAAAAAGATAAAATATCTCACTAGTAACTTTTATATTCATGTTGATATGATAATATTTTGGAGATACTGGGTTAAATATAATAGTAAAACAAATTCCACCTGTTTCTTTTTACTTTTTAACGTGACTGCTAGAAAATTTAAAATTATTTACGTGGCTCATATTATATTTCTCTTGGATGGCACTGATTTAAAGCTTAATAAGTCATTTATAGGTCCCTTTATTTCCACTCCATATTCAAACACCACAGCTATTTCTTTTGAGTCTCTGGGGTTTCCCTTAATGAAGGGAAATAGGCTTTTAAAGCTCTAGTCTAGACTCTTTGCTATTAAGCAAATGTACCAATTTTGTGTTTTGGCCCCCTTCTTTTTATTTTTACCCCCAAATTCGCTAGAACTAGAGTATTTCTTTCTCTAAACATGATGTCCTTTGTATTCATAACTTAAACCTGTTCTAAAAATGTCCGTTTAAACAGTTCTAAAACTTCTATCCGTTGTAGATATGTATCATTTCTGGGACACTTTTGAAATCATTTATTTAGTACCCATTGTTACTTCAGTGCTATAAGAAGCCTAATAGTCTTTCCTAAATACTTAGATAAAAATAGTCCACGTTTTGGGAATCAAGTGTTGGCCGAAGTGCTCCTCACTTTTCACAAATATTATATTTGAATTCTGTATAATATACTGTTGGAGATCACCTTTTAAAAAACCTCATGATACATCTTTTTGGAAATTATTTTGAAACTATAGTGATAAGTTTGGAATAAACATATTTTAATATAATTACTTTTCTGAAGTCAGTGTGTACTTGAATTTATTATGGACTAAACCCTCAACTAAAGGACATAATAGAAACGTGTCCTGCTAGGGGTTTCCATTCGTTATTAGTTCTTCCCTTATAGCTTTTTCTTTAAATGGTACATTATATATTAATTGTGGGAAATGAGGAAGCATAGCTATCATTTAGATAATTACATATTTGATAATACCTAGGCATTCAGAAATTATGTATTAGCAATTATAGGTAAATTAGAGGAAGTTGTACTTTATTATATATGTAAATCAATAATTATTTTTTCTTTATTATTTGTAATTGAAATAGGTTATGCAGACCTATTTTAATTTGATCTGCCTTCTTTCTTGTTCTGCTCATTCCAAAGTTCTGTGTGCATTTTGAGATTTACTGAAAATACTGATTTGTCTTAAAGTTGACTACAAGTGTGAAAAAATGTGAAAGATTTTTTAAACGTTTAGTATAAATAATTATTATATTTTAATAGGTCCAATTTAGGAATTAAAATATTTTCCCTTTTGCTCTCTTTTCTTATATTTGCTTGACAGTTTGCAGACACTCAAAGCCTTTTGCTTTTTAAAATGTTTTTAAATGGTGGAGATTTGTATATTAGATATAGATATGGGTTTTTTTTAAGTTAATTATGAATGTATTAACGTTTGTGTTTCAGATTTTTTTGTGACACCTTAAACATGAGCCCCACACAGTGGGACTTCCCTGTGGAATTATGTTGTCGGCCTATGGCTTTTGTTACTCTTACGGGCCTGGATGTAGTTTATAATGCTGTCCATCGAGCTGTCTGGGATGCTTTTTGTGCCAATCGGAGAGCTGATCGGGTACCGATTTCTTTCAAGGTGCTCCCAGGTGACCATGAGTATCCCAAATGTAGACCCAAGGTAATGACACTATGATTACATATGTTCTCTCTCTCTCTTCCTATGTGTGTGTATGTGTGATATCTTTTTTGTTCCTATTGTCTGTGCTGGAAAAGCCCTGAGTTTAGCAGGGCAGTGGTTATAGTGGTGCATGAAGAAAACCTTAGGCATTTTCTTGTAACATACTATGTGTATGTTTAATAATAGTTATTTTTTTAAATCCCAGAGTATTAATTACTTTCTAAAGCTTTCTATCTTGTGAGCCTACGTTTTCCTTTTTTCATTTGTAGAAAAAAATACCTAAGTCTCCATAGTTTTAACAGAGTCATCTCTAAAAGGAAGGTCTCATGCTCCCCATTCATCATTAGCAATATCATTATAGAATCCATGGTCTTCACAGTTTGGCTCAATTTCACACACATTTTTTGAGCATTTGCTTTGTTTTAGGTACTTGGAACCATGCAACAAGCTGGTGATTTGAATTTTATTTTTTTTATTTTTATTTTGTCAATATACAATGTAGTTGATTATTATGTCCCATCACCGAAACCTCCCATTGGAAGTATTATCCAGAGGAATCAGAGAAGAGAAGGAAATAAAGGGCATCCAGATTGGAAAAGATGAAGTCAAACTGTCCCTGTTTGCAGATGACATGATCCTATATATCGAACAGCCCAAATCATCTACAAAAAAACTCTTAGAGGTGATAAATGAGTTCAGCACAGTAGCAGGATACAAAATCAACACACAAAAATCAGTAGCATTTCTTTTCACCAATAGTGAACAAGCAGAAAGAGAAATCAAGAAAGCCTGCCCATTTACAATAGCCACCAAAAAAATAAAATACTTATTGGAAGTATTATCCAGAGGAATCAGAGAAGAGAAGGAAATAAAGGGCATCCAGATTGGAAAAGATGAAGTCAAACTGTCCCTGTTTGCAGATGACATGATCCTATATATCGAACAGCCCAAATCATCTACAAAAAAACTCTTAGAGGTGATAAATGAGTTCAGCACAGTAGCAGGATACAAAATCAACACACAAAAATCAGTAGCATTTCTTTTCACCAATAGTGAACAAGCAGAAAGAGAAATCAAGAAAGCCTGCCCATTTACAATAGCCACCAAAAAAATAAAATACTTATTGGAAGTATTATCCAGAGGAATCAGAGAAGAGAAGGAAATAAAGGGCATCCAGATTGGAAAAGATGAAGTCAAACTGTCCCTGTTTGCAGATGACATGATCCTATATATCGAACAGCCCAAATCATCTACAAAAAAACTCTTAGAGGTGATAAATGAGTTCAGCACAGTAGCAGGATACAAAATCAACACACAAAAATCAGTAGCATTTCTTTTCACCAATAGTGAACAAGCAGAAAGAGAAATCAAGAAAGCCTGCCCATTTACAATAGCCACCAAAAAAATAAAATACTTATTGGAAGTATTATCCAGAGGAATCAGAGAAGAGAAGGAAATAAAGGGCATCCAGATTGGAAAAGATGAAGTCAAACTGTCCCTGTTTGCAGATGACATGATCCTATATATCGAACAGCCCAAATCATCTACAAAAAAACTCTTAGAGGTGATAAATGAGTTCAGCACAGTAGCAGGATACAAAATCAACACACAAAAATCAGTAGCATTTCTTTTCACCAATAGTGAACAAGCAGAAAGAGAAATCAAGAAAGCCTGCCCATTTACAATAGCCACCAAAAAAATAAAATACTTAAGTGTGAAAAAATGTGAGAGATTTTTTAAACGTTTAGTATAAATAATTATTATATAAGTGTGAAAAAATGTGAGAGATTTTTTAAACGTTTAGTATAAATAATTATTATATGGTGAATGATCTTACATATGTGTTGTTGTATTCTGTTTGCTAATATTTTATTGAGGATTTTTGCATCTATATTCATCAAGGATATCGGCCTGTAGTTTTCTTTCTTGGTTATATCTTTACCTGGTGATTTGAATTTAAATAAGACATGCTCCCTGTCCTTGGGGAATTACAGATAAACTAAAATAGTTTATTTATTGTGGAATCAGGAAAGGTATTAAGTTCAAAACTGACTTTTTGGAGACTTAAACTAAATTGTCAACTTGGAATTATGTATCATTGTTTTTTTACTACAGATTTGAAATGATGTTCCTTGATCATTTCTTTAATGCTGGTTTTCAATGAGTTTTCATATGTTCATTTAAAATCAAAATTTTAACAAGGTCGATCAAAGACTCACTTTCACTCAGCTTCATTTCAATGAATTAAAGTAAATTCTAAACTGGGAATGACATATCGTTGTCTTTATAAGTTTTTTACTGATGATTCTTGACCATTTTTCCAGTGAGTTTTTATGTGTGTTTAAAAGCAAAATTTTAGCAAGGTAAATAGAACGTGCACTTTCAACTGCATTGTATCAGTAAATTTTAGTAAATAATAGGAATGGTGTATGGTTGTCTTTTATGTAAGTTTTACCTCACTTTTCTGGAGCATTTTCCCAGTGCTTGATTTCACTGGAATTTCACATACGTAATTCAGATGAAAATTTCAGCAAGGCAGATAAGATGCATTTTCAGCTGGTTCAGTCTGTGAATTAAAGAAAATTTTGAACTAGGGAAAAATCCTGACTTTTAAGGTGAACAACATAGTACATCCTCTAATTTACCTTAGAAAAATAATTATTATAATGATGATAGTATTAATAAAAGCAGCTCACATATAGAACTCACTTTGTGAAATTTACTGTTCTAAGCCATTCATGTATATTGATTGATTTGTTCTTTGTCATAATTTTATGGAGTTGGTTTCAAAGTTAGGTGATGAGACATATCAATCAAAATAAATCCCCCCACTTCTTTTCCCCCTTCCCCCTCATCACCCCCCAGTTTTTTGTTTTGCCCTAGAGCAGTGTTTCCAACTTGGTAGTCTCTGGACAAGTATGTCATCACCACCTGAGTTTATTAAAAATGTAGATGCCAGGCCTCCTCAGTTAATCTCTAGGAGTGTAAGACCTGTGGATTTGGTCACCAGCTGATTATTTTGCTTACGTGTTTGAGAACCACATACCGGAGACATCATTTCATATACCCAGCCCAATAAATCGTGAGCTGTCTGAAATTGTGCAAGTAATAGCAGCCCTGGCCCTGGCCCTTACACATTCTTTTTTTTAATATGATGTTTGTGTCAAGGGAGGCTGGCAGTCCAGGACAACTAGCCCCTTTTTTCCTCCCTTAATTCTCCAATTCAGGATGCTTTTCATTTCCCAATTCCTGGTTCTTTCCTGCATCCCCATGTTATTTTATGACAGGCTTCCTTACCGTCTTTGTCTGCCATCACTTGAGGTAGACATCGGACCAATATGAGAGTAATCGGAGTCAGTGCAGGTGATTCAGAAGTAATTTGAGATTTCAACTGGGTGTTTTGGAACTAATACACAAAGCTACCACATCCTCTTCCCACTATGTGGCACTTAGTGCGTCTGACCCTCAAGTGACTGCTGATATACTTTTAAGAATTTTCTTTATTTTTAACTTCATCCACAAGTAAGGTGAAATGCTGTCTTTGAAACAAATGAAGCCATACTGCATTTTAGATAATATTTTATTTGAGCAGTTTCATAAGAAAAGAAACTGAAATGATGAAGAATATAAGTAGAATTTACCTGGAAATGGGCTGGATACTTTTCTTTTTAACAGTATATATGAAAACCTTGACATCATTAGAACCTCTTGATTTTGATTATTCTTCTTTAAATGGGAAGTATAGTGACTCTGGGATTGAGATTCTACCTCCCACACTTTCTAGCTCTTATTTAATCTCTGTAAGCCTGAATTTTTTCATCTTAAAAAAAGTGGTGAGTATATTGAATGAGATACATGCACATGTGCCTGGCACTCAGTAACAGGTGGTTTCTGTTGCTGCTATCAAATAACTTTTCAGCTTTTTCCAATGTTTGCAGAGAACTTCTTATGAATGGTACATTCCTAAAGGAATCTTAAAGACTGGCTGGATGAATAAGCATCTGAATCTAGTACCAGCCCTGGTGGTTGTGTTTTATGAACTGGACTGGGATGAGCCTCAGTGGAAAGAAAAGCAGTCCGAGTGTGCTACCAGAGTGGAAATAGTCAGGTATGATCTTCATTATCAGCATGGCCACGTTAGTTTGCACATGTCTGTTATTTTCTAACATTTATTGAAGGCAGTTTAGTACTGTTTAGACTGCAGTGGTCTCTTTGGGGATTGCTCCAGTGAATCTTGTTGAATTCTTAAGAGGTAGTATAAATATTAACTGTATATAATACTGGGGTATGTGAAGAAATTTAGAAGACAAATTAGTCTGAATTTCCCAATGTTTTTTCTTGGATTTATGATCTTTTTGGAGACATAGTAATTTACTCTTTAGTTCCATAGAACAATTTTGCTTTATCACTATTTCAGTTTCAAAATAATTAATTCTTTTGGATGCCTACTCTGTGGTGTATCACTATGAAGAAGTCAGGTGTATTATAACTTTTATATAAAAATTTATATTAAACTTTTGCTTTTAAGGCAGATTTTTAAAGATTAGAAGCTTGATGTGAAATCATACACTTAAATTTTAAATCATTGTGGCATTATGTTCTTTGTGTACAGGAAAAGATTTCCACTACTCTTGGCTTTTTAAGTTGAAATGTACCTTTGATTAAACTGTGAAGTTTATATTTTATGTTTGTATTTTATGAAAAAACAGTTAATTCACTTGATTTTTTTTT